GAATGCATTAGGCAGTGATGTGGTGGAGGCTGACTCCATACATAGTTTCAAGTGTAGATATGATAGAGCCCAATAGGCTCAGGAACCTGTACACCTGTTGATTGACGGTTGAGAGGTGGGACCAAAGAGCCAGAACTCCACCCTCGCAAGCACAACTAGGTGAGTACAACTAGGTGATTACACACACAGGACCATATACACTCACAGGACCGTATACACGCACAGGACCGTATACACACACAGGACCGTATACACACACAGGACCGTATACACTCACAGGACCGTATACACTCACAGGACCGTGTACACACACAGGACCGTTTACACACACAGGACCGTATACACTCACAGGACCGTATACACACACAGGACCGTATACACACACAGGACCGTATACACACACAGGACCGTATACACACACAGGACCGTATACACACACAGGACCGTATACACTCACAGGACCGTATACACTCACAGGACTGTATACACTCACAGGACCGTATACACACACAGGACCGTATACACTCACAGGACCGTATACACACACAGGACCGTATACACACACAGGACCGTGTACACACACAGGAAAGTATACACACAGCCTACCTGTAACGATTCGAGAAAGAGACCTGGGAGTGGATGTGACACCTAATCTAACTCCTGAGGCACATATAAATAGGATAACGACAGCAGCGTACTCTACACTGGCGAAAATTAGAACTTCATTCAGAAACCTAAATGAGGAAGCTTTTAGGGCGCTTTACACTGCCTACGTGAGACCCGTCTTAGAGTATGCCGCGCCATCATGGAGCCCCCACCTGAAGAAACACATAAAGAAACTGGAGAAGGTTCAGAGGTTTGCGACGAGGCTTGTCCCAGAGTTACGAGGGAGGGGATATGAAGAGCGGCTGAAGGAACTGAACCTTACGACACTAGAGAAAAGAAGGGAGAGAGGAGATATGATAGGGACATATAAAATACTCAGGGGAATTGACAAAGTGGAAATAGATGAAATGTTCACACGTAATAATAACAGAACGAGGGAACATGGGTGGAAACTGGAAACTCAGATGAGTCACAGAGATGTTAGGAAGTTTTCTTTTAGCGTGAGAGTAGTAGAAAAATGGAATGCACTTGGGGAACAGGTTGTGGAAGCAAATACTATTCATACTTTTAAAACTAGGTATGATAGGGAAATGGGACAGGAGTCATTGCTGTAAACAACCGATAGCTAGAAAGGCGGGATCCAAGAGTCAATGCTCGATCCTGCAAGCACATATAGGTGAGTACATATAGGTGAGTACACACAGGACCGTATACACACACAGGACCGTATGCACACACAGGACCGTATACACACACAGGACCGTATACACACACAGGACCGTATACACACACAGGACCGTATACACACACAGGACCGTATACACTCACAGGACCGTATACACTCACAGGACCGTATACACACACAGGACCGTATACACTCACAGGACCGTATACACACACAGGACCGTATACACACACAGGACCGTATACACACACAGGACCGTATACACACACAGGACCGTATACACACACAGGACCGTATACACTCACAGGACCGTATACACACACAGGACCGTATACACACAGGACCGTATACACTCACAGGACCGTATACACTAACAGGACCGTATACACTCACAGGACCGTATACACACACAGGACCGTATACACACACAGGACCGTATACACACACAGGACCGTATACACACACAGGACCGTGAACACACAGTTGATTGTTGAACAGTTGATTGACAGTTGAGAGGCGGGCCGAAAGAGCAAAGCTCAACCCCCGCAAAAAACACAACTATAGGACCGTATTCACACACAGGACCGTATACACACACAGGTGGAGTATACACACAGAGGACCGTATACACTCACAAGGCCGTATACACTCACAGGACCGTATACACACACACAGGACCGTGTACACTCACAAGACCGTATACACTCACAGGACCGTATACACTCACAGGACCGTATACACACACAGGACCGTATACACTCACAGGACCGTATACACACACAGGACCGTATACACTCACAAGACCGTATACACTCACAGGACCGTATACACGTACAGGACCGTATACACACACAGGACCGTATACACACACAGGACCGTATACACACACAGGACCGTATACACACACAGGACCGTATACACACACAGGACCGTATACACACACAGGACCGTGTACACACACAGGACCGTATACACACACAGGACCGTGTACAGACACAGGACCGTATACACACACAGGACCGTATACACACACAGGACCGTATACACACACAGGACCGTGTACATACACAGGACCATATACACACACAGGACCGTGTACACACACAGGGCCGTGTACAGAGATAAGAGAGAGAATAGTTAACCAGGAACCACTGGAAGAGTTTGAGATTACCAGCGGGGAAGTAAGGAAGTGTTTACTAGAGTTGGATGTGACAAAGGCTATAGGCCCAGATGGAATCTCCCCTTGGATACTAAAGGAAGGAGCAGAGGAACTGTGCCTCCCACTCTCCGTAGTGTATAACAAATCACTGGCAACAGGGGAACTGCCAGAAATTTGGAAAGCAGCTAACGTAGTCCCGATATACAAGAAAGGGGATAGACAGGAGGCACTGAATTACAGGCCAGTGTCCCTAACCTGCATACCAAAGCTGATGGAGAAGATTGTGCGAAGAAAGCTAGTGGAGCACCTGGAGCGAAAGAACTTTGTAACACAGCATCAACATGGATTCAGGGATGGCAGGTCCTGCCTCACAGGGTTACTTGAATTCTACGACCAGGCAACAAAAATAAGGCAAGAAAGAGAAGGATGGGCAGACTGCATATTTTTGGATTGTCAGAAAGCCCTTTGATACAGTGCCACACAGGAGGCTAGTGAAAAAGCTGGAGATGCAGGCTGGAGTGAAAGGTAAGGTACTCCGTTGGATACAGGAGTATCTAAGCAACAGGAGACAACGAGTCAGTGTGAGGGGTGAGGTCTCAGATTGGCGAGACGTTACGAGTGGAGTCCCGCATGGGTCTGTCCTTGGACCTATACTGTTTCTGATATATGTAAATGATCTCCCAGAGGGTATAGAATCGTTTCTCAATGTTTGCCGATGATGCAAAAATTATGAGGAGGATTGAAGCTGAGGACGATAGTAGGAGGCTAGAAGATGACCTAGACAGACTGAGTGAATGGTCCAACAAATGGCTGTTGAAGTTCAACCCGAGTAAATGCAAAGTAATGAAACTAGGCAGTGGAAATAGGAGGCCAGACACAGGATACAGAATAGGAGGTGAAGTACTTAATAAAACGAACAGAGAGAAAGATCTAGGAGTTGATATCACACCAAACCTGTCTCCTGAAGCCCACATAAAAATAATTACATCTGCGGCATATGCGAGGCTGGCTAACATCAGAACAGCGTTCAGGAACCTGTGTAAGGAATCATTCAGAATCTTGTACACCACATATGTAAGACCAATCCTGGAGTATGCGGCCCCAGCATGGAGCCCATACCTTGTCAAGCACAAGACGAAGCTGGAAAAAGTCCAAAGGTATGCCACTAGACTAGTCCCAGAACTAAGAGGCATAAGTTACGAGGAAAGGCTGCGGGAAATGCACCTTACGACACTGGAAGACAGAAGAGTAAGGGTCAGACATGATCACAACCTACAAAATCCTCAGAGGAATCGACCGGGTACACAAGGATGAACAATTCAACACTGGTGGGACGCGAACAAGGGGACACAGGTGGAAACTGAGTACCCACATGAGCCACAGAGACGTTAGAAGGAACTTCTTCAGTGTCAGAGTAGTTAACGGATGGAATGCATTAGGCAGTGATGTGGTGGGGGCTGACTCCATACACAGTTTTAAATGTAGATATGATAGAGCCCAGTAGGCTCAGGAATCTGTACACCAGTTGATTGACAGTTGAGAGGCGGGACCAAAGAGCCAAAGCTCAACTCCAGCAAGCACAAATAGGTGAGTACAAATAGGTGAGTACACACACAGGACCGTATACACAGGTAAATTAGGCAGGAAAGAGAAGGGTGAGCAGACTGCATTTTCTTGGACTGTCAGAAAGCCTTTGACACAGTACCTCATAAAAGGCTGTTACAAAAGTTGGAGCAGCAGGCAGGAGTAAAAGGTTAGGTGCTCCATTGGATGAGGGAGTACCTAAGCAATAGGAAACAGCGAGTAACGGTGAGAGAGGAGGCATATGTGGCGAAATGTCACCAGCGGGGTTCCACAGGGCTCTGTACTCGGACCCATCCTGTTTCTAGTTTATATAAACGACCTTCCGGAGGGTATAGACTCATTCCTCTCAATGTTTGCTGATGATGCAAAACTTATGCGAATAATTAAGACGGATGAAGATAGACAGAGACTACAAGACGACCTGGACAAACTGGAGGAATGGTCTAGAAAATAACTGCTAAAGTTCAACTCAGGAAAGTGTAAAGTCGGGCCCCTTCGTGAATCAGGCCCCAGATTTCTGGTTGGTATGGACTGCTCCACACTTCAGCGTGAAGAGTATACGTCCTACAATATGTATTTGATAGAGACCAGCGCGTCCTGGGTCTCTCCGAGCTGATGGTAAAGCTTCTATTATTAATTTGTTAAACTTTCAAACTTATATCTCAAATTCCTCCACTGATGAATTAATAATGAGAACCAACAAGATCAATTTAGCGGCTCACTCGTATCATAATATTATATCAATTATAGGAATTATATCAGAGTAGGAAGCATCTGGCTGGAGTTATTGCTTCAGACTTAACTACACATTCTTGGTAAAGTTGTTATTTCTGAACAGAGGATGAATCCTCATAGTTTAATATTACATGTAAGTAACATACAAGTGTGATATGCACACTTAGAATGTTGCAAGATAGATAAGTAATACAGTGTTGCAGACAGGTGATCAGTATATATGGTTGGCAGGGTTCCGGAGCGTGACCTGGACGTGCCCCGCCAAATGGTAATCATTGCCTTATCCATGGTGTTCCTGGCCATCTTTCTGTGGGTCCGTAAGCACTGGAAGCACTGGAAGCGCTGCGAGTGCTCCTCGGGCACTGAAGAGGTCATCCCGGCCGCCAAGAGTTTTGGCACCTTCGTCGGCATCCTCACCATGACAGGTTAGTGGTTCATGGCTCTTGTATGGTCACTATGACAGGTTAGTGGTTCATGGCTCTTGTGTGGTCACTATGACAGGTTAGTGGTTCATGACTCTTGTGTGGTCACTATGACAGGTTAGTGGTTCATGGCTCTTGTATGGTCACTATGACAGGTTAGTGGTTCATGACTCTTGTGTGGTCACTATGACAGGTTCATGTCTTGTGTTCATGACTCTTGTGGTGGTCACTATGACAGGTTAGTGGTTCATGACTCTTGTGGTTCATGGTCACTATGACAGGTTAGTGGTTCATGACTCTTGTATGGTCATGACAGGTTAGTGGTTCATGGCTCTTGTGTGGTCACTATGACAGGTTAGTGGTTCATGGCTCTTGTATGGTCACTATGACAGGTTAGTGGTTCATGACTCTTGTGTGGTCACTATGACAGGTTAGTGGTTCATGACTCTTGTATGGTCACTATGACAGGTTAGTGGTTCATGGCTCTTGTGTGGTCACTATGACAGGTTAGTGGTTCATGACTCTTGTATGGTCACTATGACAGGTTAGTGGTTCATGACTCTTGTGTGGTCACTATGACAGGTTAGTGGTTCATGACTCTTGTATGGTCACTATGACAGGTTAGTGGTTCATGACTCTTGTGTGGTCACTATGACAGGTTAGTGGTTCATGACTCTTGTGTGGTCACTATGATAGGTTAGTGGTTCATGACTCTTGTATGGTCACTATGACAGGTTAGTGGTTCATGACTCTTGTGTGGTCACTATGACAGGTTAGTGGTTCATGACTCTTGTGTGGTCACTATGACAGGTTAGTGGTTCATGACTCTTGTATGGTCACTATGACAGGTTAGTGGTTCATGACTCTTGTATGGTCACTATGACAGGTTAGTGGTTCATGACTCTTGTATGGTCACTATGACAGGTTAGTGGTTCATGACTCTTGTATGGTCACTATGACAGGTTAGTGGTTCATGACTCTTGTATGGTCACTATGACAGGTTAGTGGTTCATGACTCTTGTGTGGTCACTATGACAGGTTAGTGGTTCATGACTCTTGTATGGTCACTATGACAGGTTAGTGGTTCATGACTCTTGTATGGTCACTATGACAGTGGTTCATGACTCTTGTGTGGTCACTATGACAGGTTAGTGGTTCATGACTCTTGTATGGTCACTATGACAGGTTAGTGGTTCATGACTCTTGTGTGGTCACTATGACAGGTTAGTGGTTCATGGACAGGTCATGACTCTTGTGGTGGTCACTATGACAGGTTAGTGGTTCATGACTCTTGTGTGGTCACTATGACAGGTTAGTGGTTCATGACTCTTGTATGGTCACTATGACAGGTTAGTGGTTCATGACTCTTGTGTGGTCACTATGACAGGTTAGTGGTTCATGACTCTTGTATGGTCACTATGACAGGTTAGTGGTTCATGACTCTTGTGTGGTCACTATGACAGGTTAGTGGTTCATGACTCTTGTGTGGTCATGACAGGTGTGTGGTCACTCTGTATGGTCAGGTGACAGTGGTTCATGACTCTTGTGTGGTCACTATGACAGGTTAGTGGTTCATGACTCTCACTGTGTGGTCACTATGACAGGTTAGTGGTTCATGACTCTTGTATGGTCACTATGACAGGTTAGTGGTTCATGACTCTTGTGTGGTCACTATGACAGGTTAGTGGTTCATGACTCTTGTGTGGTCACTATGACAGGTTAGTGGTTGACATGACTCTTGTATGGTCACTATGACAGGTTAGTGGTTCATGACTCTTGTGTGGTCACTATGACAGGTTAGTGGTTCATGACTCTTGTGTGGTCACTATGACAGGTTAGTGGTTCATGACTCTTGTATGGTCACTATGACAGGTTAGTGGTTCATGACTCTTGTATGGTCACTATGACAGGTTAGTGGTTCATGACTCTTGTGTGGTCACTATGACAGGTTCATGTCTTGTATGGTCATGACTCTTCTTGTGTGGTCACTATGATGACTCTTGTAGGTCACTATGACAGGTTAGTGGTTCATGACTCTTGTGTGGTCACTATGACAGGTTAGTGGTTCATGACTCTTGTAGGTCACTATGACAGGTTAGTGTTCATGACTCTTGTGTGGTCACTATGACAGGTTAGTGGTTCATGACTCTTGTGTGGTCACTATGACAGGTTAGTGGTTCATGACTCTTGTATGGTCACTATGACAGGTTAGTGGTTCATGACTCTTGTGTGGTCACTATGACAGGTTAGTGGTTCATGACTCTTGTGTGGTCACTATGACAGGTTAGTGGTTCATGACATGACTCTTGTATGGTCACTATGACAGGTTAGTGGTTCATGACTCTTGTGTGGTCACTATGACTAGGTTAGTGGTTCATGACTCTTGTGTGGTCACTATGACAGGTTAGTGGTTCATGACTCTTGTGTGGTCACTATGACAGGACAGGTTAGTGGTTCATGACTCTTGTGTGGTCACTATGACAGGTTAGTGGTTCATGACTCTTGTGTGGTCACTATGACAGGTTAGTGGTTCATGACTCTTGTATGGTCACTATGACAGGTTAGTGGTTCATGACTCTTGTGTGGTCACTATGACAGGTTAGTGGTTCATGACTCTTGTGTGGTCACTATGACAGGTTAGTGGTTCATGACTCTTGTGTGGTCACTATGACAGGTATGACTCTTGTGTGGTCACTATGACAGTGTTCATGACTCTTGTGTGGTCACATGACTCTTGTGTGGTCACTATGACAGGTTAGTGGTTCATGACTCTTGTGTGGTCACTATGACAGGTTAGTGGTTCATGACTCTTGTGTGGTCACTATGACAGGTTAGTGGTTCATGACTCTTGTGTGGTCACTATGACAGGTTAGTGGTTCATGACTCTTGTATGGTCACTATGACAGGTTTCATGAGTGGTTCATGACTCTTGTGTGGTCACTATGACAGGTTAGTGGTTCATGACTCTTGTATGGTCACTATGACAGGTTAGTGGTTCATGACTCTTGTGTGGTCACTATGACAGGTTAGTGGTTCATGACTCTTGTGTGGTCACTATGACAGGTTAGTGGTTCATGACTCTTGTGTGGTCACTATGACAGGTTAGTGGTTCATGACTCTTGTGTGGTCACTATGACAGGTTAGTGGTTCATGACTCTTGTATGGTCACTATGACAGGTTAGTGGTTCATAACTCTTGTAAGGTCACTATGACAGGTTAGTGGTTCATGACTCTTGTGTGGTCACTATGACACGTTAGTGGTTCTTGGCTCTTGTATGGTCTCTATGACAGGTTAGTGGTTCATGACTCTTGTGTGGTCACTATGACAGGTTAGTAGTTCATGACTCTTGTGTGGTCACTATGACAGGTTAGTGGTTCATGACTCTTGTGTGGTCACTATGACAGTTAGTTCAGTGGTTCATGACTCTTGTGTGGTCACTATGACAGACAGTTAGTGGTTCATGACTCTTGTATGGTCACTATGACAGGTTAGTGGTTCATGACTCTTGTGTGGTCACTATGACAGGTTAGTGGTTCATGACTCTTGTATGGTCACTATGACAGGTTCATGACTGGTTCATGACTCTTGTGTGGTCACTATGACAGGTTAGTGGTTCATGACTCTTGTGTGGTCACTATGACAGGTCTCTTGTGTGGTCACTATGACAGGTTAGTGGTTCATGACTCTTGTGTGGTCACTATGACAGGTTAGTGTGTGTTCATGACTCTTGTGTTGGTCACTATGACAGGTTAGTGGTTCATGACTCTTGTGTGGTCACTGTGATAGGTAAGTGGTTCATGACTCTTGTGTGGTCACTATGACAGGTTAGTGGTTCATGACTCTTGTATGGTCACTATGACAGGTTAGTGGTTCATGACTCTTGTGTGGTCACTATGACAGGTTAGTGGTTCATGACTCTTGTATGGTCACTATGACAGGTTAGTGGTTCATGACTCTTGTGTGGTCACTATGACAGGTTAGTGGTTCATGACTCTTGTGTGGTCACTATGACAGGTTAGTGGTTCATGACTCTTGTGTGGTCACTATGACAGTGGTTCATGACTCTTGTGTGGTCACTATGACAGGTTAGTGGTTCATGACTCTTGTATGGTCACTATGACAGGTTAGTGGTTCATGACTCTTGTGTGGTCACTATGACAGGTTAGACTGTGGTTCATGACTCTTGTATGGTCACTATGACAGGTTAGTGGTTCATGACTCTTGTGTGGTCACTATGACAGGTTAGTGGTTCATTACTCTTGTATGGTCACTATGACAGGTTAGTGGTTCATGACTCTTGTGTGGTCACTATGACAGGTTAGTTTTTCATGACTTTTGTGTGGTCACTATGACAGTGGTTCATGACTCTTCTATGGACACTATGACAGGTTCGTGGTTCATGACTCTTGTGTGGTCACTATGACAGGTTTCATGACTCAGGTTAGTGTTCATGACTCTTGTGGGTCACTATGACAGGTTAGTGGTTCATGACTCTTGTGTGGTCACTATGACAGGTTAGTGGTTCATGACTCTTGTGTGGTCACTATGACAGGTTAGTGGTTCATGACTCTTGTATGGTCACTATGACAGGTTAGTGTTCATGACTCTTGTGTGGTCACTATGACAGGTTAGTGGTTCATGACTCTTGTGGTGGTCACTATGACAGGTCACTATGACAGGTTAGTGGTTCATGACTCTTGTGTGGTCACTATGACAGGTTAGTGACTCATGACTCTTGTGTGGTCACTATGACAGACAGTTAGTGTTCATGACTCTTGTGTGGTCACTATGACAGGTTAGTGGTTCATGACTCTTGTGTGGTCACTATGACAGGTTAGTGGTTCATGACTCTTGTGTGGTCACTATGACAGGTTAGTGGTTCATGACTCTTGTATGACAGGTCACTATGACAGTGTGGTCACTATGACAGGTTAGTTCATGACTCTTGTGTGGTCACTATGACAGGTGGTTCATGACTCTTGTGTGGTCACTATGACAGGTT